CGTGGCCCGCCCCACAGATGGAAACACTCGGTGGCCGCAGACAGCGGTCCTGGCTCGCCTCCCACATCTGCTGTTTGCGGCCGACTCACCCCTCTCCTGGGCTTAGCCCCTCTTCCTACTGCCCCAGTGGTGCCCCCTGTCCCACCCATCCCTGAGGACTGAGAAGTGTACCAGGTGGCTTACCAGAATCATGTTCTAGTTCAAGAGCCACTAAGCGGAGACCTACCGGCGATCCCGAGTTGAGGAAATGGGTTTGTGGGTCACTTACTTGACCTCATAGAGGGTTAGCTTAGCAGCTAAAGGGAAGGGCAGGACCCAGAGCAGGCATGGGAGGCCACCCCCCCTCCAGGCACACAGGACACCCCACGGGAGGCATGGAGCACGCGTTGTCCTCTACCCATTAGTGTAACAGTGCCCTCAGTGGTGATAGTCAGGGACTGAGCTCGCCTCAAGTGCCTGCACCGTTCCCACACCGGGCAGCTGTCACCATGTTGCGTCCCCCCAGCCAGCCGGGTCAGGTCCCCTCACCACCCCTGCCTCCCACACGAGGAGGTGCCCAGTCGAACCTCCAGCCTGCCCTGAGGTTCACTGCTGCCCAAAGAGGCCGGAAGCACTGAGGCCTGGTGTGCGCGGCCCTGCTTGGGGGCTTCGTGCAGGGAGCTCCTGACCTGCTAATGGCGAAGGTGATTTTGCAGGCACGGTCGTGGTCGTCCCCTGTTTCACATTCTCCTCCTTGTTTGTCAGCCTCGGGGCTCCCTTTTAAGTGTTCTAAAATAGGATTACCTCCTTTCCAGGCAACCTAGAATTTTTTTCCCTTACCCTAGATCCCTTGTTTTCCACTTGACTACACGGTCTCAGGCCCCAGAGTGCTGACGTGGGCAAGGTCGTGCCCTGTGGGCTGCCCTGGGCTGTTCCCGGACCCGTCTTGAACCCTGGGTTGGGCCACAGCCCAGGCCCTGCAGGGCTCAGTCCCAGGGACACGTGCCTCCGAGGGGACTGAGCTGCTCTCTCCTTGCTTCTTCCTTTAAGTGACCCTAAAAATGAAGCAGCCGAGTGGAAGCAAACACAAACTGACAAAGGCAGCCTCGCTCCCCGGCAAGAACGGCAACCCCACCTTTGCTGCGGTCACGGCCGGCTACGACAAGAGCCCGGGTGAGTGGCTTGGCGTCGGGAGCCGCGTGCCAGCTGCGCCTCGGCGTGGGGGGCGCCTGCGGCCCGCGCGCCCACGACTGACTCAGGGCCCGTCATTACAGGTGGGAATGGCTTTGCCAAAGTTTCTTCAAGCAAAACAGATTTTTCCAGCAGCCTTGGCATTTCACACACTCCCGTTGACAGCGATGGCTCAGACAGGTATGGCTGGCCCGTCTTTTCCGTGGACGGCGGGCTTCTCAGGCCAGGTTAGCCCCTTTTGTCCAGGCTGCGCTTGGAGGCGCTTGTCCGGTGGGAGCAGACGCCCACGCGTGGGGCCAGCGGCAGCGCTGCCAGAGGGAAGGCAGAGGGAGACGCGTGCTCGCCTTCCGAGTCTCTTCTCATCCTCCTCCGTGACGGTCGCTGTGGAAGGGCTGTGATCTGATCACTAGAAAGAGAGGAGCAAATGTGTATTTGAGAGGAAGGAAACTGGTTCAAATACTGGGCAATTCATGGTCAGTTATTGGACATGCCACTTCTTTGACCCAAAGCAAGCACGGTGGCCTGGCTGTGACTGCCTCGGGCCATTGTCCCGATGAGTAACCGCGGCAGTGAAGTCATGCAGACTGTCAGTACGGGGAGTCCCAGCCTTCCCTGCTTGACACTGAAAGCACATGAATCCTAGATTCATCGTAGATTTGAAACAGGTTTTTAAATTTAATAAGTCTTCCCTTTCCAAAAGGTGAACCTAAGGGAAAAACACCTCTTTTCTCTGTAAAACACTGGCTGGGAAGCAGGCCCTCAGCTCAGGACAGGGTGGTGTGAGCTCCGAGGCTCTCTGGGTGGCATCCCTTGTGGGGAAGGAGCCGTTTCCAGGCCCCTTTGTGCGCAGTCGCCGAGCGCCCTGCGAGGCAGGGCCCCCGCCGTGGCCCTGCGGGTGACGCGCCCGGTTCCACTAACCGTCCTGCGTTTGTGTTTCCTCTTGTCACGTCCAGCCCGGGCTTCTGGAGTCCCGTCAGCAACCCCAGCAGCCCTGACTTCACACCCCTCAATTCATTCTCGGCCTTTGGAAATTCTTTTAACCTAACTGGTGGTGAGTGTCTAGCAGTTGCCTGTGACAGGAGCCTGTGGGACGGGGCTGAGGGGCAGGGGAGGTCTCATTTCACGTGTGGAGAAGCACACGGAAACGGGGAAGGCCGAGGGTCATTTCGTGGACGTTTGTAGAAGATGCGTTTCTCTGCGTCAGTGCAGTCAGGCGCTGACAGACGCCAGACACACGGGCTGACTGTAGGGAAGCGGGTCTGATGGTGCCCTCCCGGGGAGCTCCGGCCCGCCCAGCCCTCAACAGTGTCTGTGCACGGGGCCTGGCACAGCCTCCCGGACAAGGGCTCCTTCCCCTCGCGCCCCAGCCCGAAGGCGCACCAGGCCCCACTCAGTGCTGCGTGCGTCCCAGCTGGTTTGTGTTCCGCTGCGGTAATGAAAGAGCTTTGAGCAAGGATTCTGTGTCCTAGGTGTGACTCCTGGCTCTACTGGGGCTCCCTATTTCTTCTTGCTACCCAGAGTTAGGGACAACGATGTGAATTTTACGTCAGTAATGATCATGGCGTTAGAACTGGGGGATCTCGTACTCAGTCGTCCAGTGATAGGTGTGGGGGAGGTATTCAGATCATGTGCTGGCGGTCTGGGGGACATGCCCCTGCAGCCCCATTGTCCCCGAGTGTGGTGGGAGCTGACAGAGGGGGCGTGAGGGTGGGATGCCTGCCCTGGGGCACACGCCCACCCCCAGCACAGACTTGCCTCCGCTTCTTCACTTCCAGAAGTTTTCAGCAAGCTCGGGTTGTCTCGATCCTGCAATCAGGCCTCCCAGAGGAGCTGGAACGAGCTTAGCAGTGGGCCCTCGTACCTTTGGGACTCTCCAGCCACAGACCCCAGCCCTTCCTGGCCAACCAGTTCCGGTTCCCCGACCCACACGGCCACAGTGAGTGCTCTGGCTTGGGCCCCGCCTGCTCACTGTCACTGCTGTCGCTGTCCCTGGGGTGGTGCTGACAGTTGTAAAGGACAGACCTCCACGTGGAGGGGGTGGGGTAGTGCAGCCCGCGTCTCCATTGCCGAGTCTTCATACTCTGCCAAAATGACCATCAGTCCTCTCCAGAGCTGCGATGGGACGGGACGGTCAAGAAATTGTAGGAGGAATAACTGAGCAGCGGGAGGTTGGCCTCTGAATTCTCGCTTACTTGGCCTCCCGACCTAAAATTAGACCACAAAGTGGCTGAGGGCCCATGTCCGGTCCCTCCACCTCCCGGGTCAGACAGTGACTGAGGGCAGCGTTTTCCTGGGTTCTGAGAAGCCCCCGGGTCTCAGCTGGAGCTTTCCCGGTGTGCACTTGCTTCCTTCTCAGCTGAATTTTTCTGCAAAGATCTGCTCCAAAAAAAGTATTCTTATTGCAGAAAATGATTACTGTTTTCAGCTTTTACAAAATTATGACAGAAAAATATGATCCCACTGTGATTACATCTTCATTCTCAGGAAAACCAGATTAGACGTCCAAGGTGTCATGATAGATATTTTAACATAATAGATTACAAAGTTTGCTTTCGCTCGTCTTCATTCTGGCTTCAGTCTGACAGGCGTCCTAACCATTCTTTAAAACACGGGTCAGTGACCGCCTTAGGCTTTGCGGGCCGCTTATTTCCGGGGCAGCCTGTTCAGCTGCGCCGTGTGGTGCGCAGGGAGCAGAGTAACAGCTCTGGTAACAGCGAACCTGGACTCACAGAAGCAGGGCTGGATTTAGAATGTCAGACCCATCTGCTCAGACCGAGGGGGCTACGTGAATGAAGTATTTTTTAAATTAAATAAAGTGAAAGAAGTCTATGGTCCAGCCCGTTTCTAATGTAACCTTCCCCACTTACCGTCTGCCTGCCTCTCACCCGTGACGCCCCACGTTGTGTGTTTTCTGTTCCGTCAGTCCATCCTTGGCAACACCAGCGGCCTGTGGTCCACCACGCCCTTCAGCAGCTCCATCTGGTCCAGCAACCTGAACAGCACCCTTCCCTTCCCCAGCCCGGCCACCTCGCTGACCAGCATCGGCCTCCCGGGCCCCGACAGCCCCTCTGCCCCGCACGCAGCCGCCGTCCCCGGCGCCGCCGCCGACCTGGGGCAGACCTACAACCCGTGGCGGATCTGGGGCCCCACCATCGGAAGAAGAAGCTCCGACCCTTGGTCAAATTCGCACTTCCCTCATGAGAATTGAAATTAGGCCAAAAAAAAAAAGTGGGGGCCCCTTGTCTAGATCATGATACGCCAGTTTCTGAGACATCTTTTTAAGGCTCTTGCCGCCGTAGACGCCCACTCCCCCCCTCATCTTTGCAGAACAGACTCCAGCAGGGCAGGCTTGCACCACTCGCTTCTTTCAGATCTTTCTTGCAATTATGATAATATGAGATTTGCTGTTGTGCTTTTAGAGGAAAGTCTGGACTCAGCCACAAACTCCAGTAAGACCTGTACATCTGAAAACCTTAACTGTTACCAAGTTTCCACCACCTGTCTTCTTCCATTCTTTCTTTATCTGTATGAACACAAATTTGACATTACAGCTAAGGAAGTAACTTGAGTTGATTCAGAAGTCCTGGCATGTGACAGTTTTATTAAATTACCAAGTTTGAGTTTTAATAATTTCACAATATTAAGCGCCAAGATCTAATTTTAAAAATGTATGAGGACTTTGTGCTGAAAAATACAGAGTATTTTTTTAAAATAAGGCTGTCTTGGTTTAAAAGCAGATTACAGAAATGTAAGTCAACTTTAAGAACAGTGAATGAATGTGCAAACATTCGGTTGAGACCACATGCATTTTCTGTGCTGTTTGTATTTGAGGTATGTATCATTTGTATACCTGAATTTATTTTAAAGATAAACTGAAATGCACATAACCAAGTCTTGAGATACAAGATTGAATGTGTATTTCTTAAAAATACAACTTTGTGTTGTACTTTGAAATAAATGATGCTTTTTTCAAAAGCCTTGAATTGTTATGTGTCTTTTTTTCTCTTTTACATACAAAATGCACGTATGGAGTCTCCCACACCAAAGTGAGCCACTCTATCGTTCCCTGACTCTGGAGTTTGACTTATGGCTGCAACCCTGCAGTCTCATTAAATTCTGGGTGTTTCCATAGTATTCACTAAGGGCCCTTAGAAAAAGTTCACACATCTGAAATTTATTTTTCCTTTTAAAAAGATGTGTGTTGACCCTTTTCCAGTTTTAAAACCCCCACAACTCCGGAAAATGGTGCCTGTAGAGCCGCGGAGATACCAGGCGAGTTCCATGGGCCCGGATGCTTGATTGCGGAATCTTTCAGAAAGTACTGCCTGCTCCAGCTTGCTTTTCTCATCCACCATTTTCCAGCCTATTTTAAAGCCAGCCTTTGCTGGGTAACCAGAGACACTAAACATAAATGTTCTGTTTGGGGCCAGTTACATCACAAAGCCATATCCACAAAGGCCAGAGTGGTTTAGTTAAGCATCACACGGAGTGATTTTGAGTCTGACCTGTTCTCTGCTTTGTACCAAGCTCAGCAGAACTGGCCGCATCACTGTCCCAGTGATGCTCTGACACGTGGGACCCCAGCTTCCTGTCCAGTCAGAGCTCCAGTGCTCCGGCCTCATGGCAGACCCGGACCTCGTGTGGTCTCGTTAGCTGGGTCTCCTGGATGCAGCTGCAAAACTGAGACGTATTTAAGGCTTGGGATTCGCTTTCTACACCAAAGCAATTACTAAGGTGTTACAAAGCTATTGAACAGCTGAGGTTCGTGCCAACCCTCATTTACAAAAGAAAAGATTTTCTTGGCAAACTCTACCCCAGTAAGGGTGTCTCAGGGATCCTACACTTGTTCCTTCATAAGAATCACCTGAAATTCCCAAACTCCTTCCTACTTTCACTCCATGGGACCCTTGAGAAACACCGTACACTTGAAAAGGGGAAAAAATACAAATGGGTTTCTGCTGTCACCTGGGTTTTCCAGATAATTCTTAGGGTGGGTATTTCAGAAGCAACATCCTCACCAGCCAAACCCAAGCCTTGATAGGCTTCAACCTAACAATTTACAGTGAAACACTGGTTAGCAGAATAGTTTGCTTTATACTGGGCCAAGGTTGAATTTAAAAGTTATATAAAAAATACTTAGCCATATGATTCAGGAATCTCACTCCTGGGCCTATATCTGGAGGGAACTCCAATTCGAAAAGATACATGCACCCCAGTGTTCACAGCAGTACTATGTACAACAGCCAAGACATGGAAACAACCCAAGTGTCCATCGACAGATGACTGGATAAAGAAGTTGTGGTATATTTATACGATGAAATACTACTCAGCCATAAAAAAGAATAAAATAATGCCATTTGCAGCAACATGGATGGACCTAGAGATCGTTATTCTAAGTGAAGGAAGCCAGAAAGAGAAAAATATCATATGATATCACTCATATGTGGAATCTAAAAGAAAAAAGGACACTATGAACCCATCTACAAAACAGACTCAAAGACATAGTAAACAATCATGGTTGCCAGGGAGAGAGGGTGGGAAGGGGTAAATTTGGAAGTTTGAGATTTACAAATGTTAGCCACTATACTATATTCAGTATCTTATAATAACCTTTAATGAAAAAATATGAAAATGAATATGTTATGCATATGCATGACTGGGACATTGTGCTGTACACCAGAAACTGACACATTATAACTGATGGTACTTCAATTTACATATATATAAAATAAAAAAGAATGAAGATTTTAAAAAAGGAAAAATAAAACAGCTTAGAACCTTCTTAGGACTGGCTGGGTTTTGTAGGATTTGGGTCCCTGGATTTGGTCTCGGCAAAACCACTGTATGAAGCCTTGAAGGGACCAGACACGGAACCTCTAGATTAGACAGGAAATTTACACTCTTTTGTGGCTAGGATTATTCAACACATTTCTACTGCCCTAGGCATCTGCTCCCACCTCCATGCTGCCTGGAGGCCTCAATCAGGGGAAGTAGGGCAAATCAAACCTTAAAAAGAATCCTGGCTAAGCTTTGTCAAGAAACATCAGAACCCTGGACAAAGCTGGTACCCACAGCCCTCCTGAGAATCAGGGTGGCACCTAAAACGGGGCTAAGGCTCAGTCCCCTTTGAAACAACTTATGATAGACCCCTTTTATCCTCTCATATATTGGTGGATTCTGAAACCACTGAACTTGTTAAATATCTAATCTGGGACAAATTCAAAAGGCGATTACAGAATAGGGAAGTCAGGTTTTACCAAGCCCTGGCCAGGAAACAGGTTCCATCCAAGTTCAACTGGGAGACTCCACCCTCCTAAAAACATGGAGAGAAGGGTCTCCCTCTGACCAACAATTGCCCAAGTGGAAGGGGCCTTACCAGGTCCTTCTCAGCCCTCCTACTGCAGCAAAGTTACAGGGGATCACTAACTGGGTGGCTCTTTCTAGAATTAAACCTACCCCTCCCCCTGAGTCTTCACGGGACACACAGGACCTTGGACAGCCAGAGGAGCCCTGGTGGTCGAGCAAGCCTCTTCAGGATCTGAATCTCTTATTCAAGAAGGACAAAGGCACCTCGCAGATTCCAGGCTGAGTGCCGACAGCCACTATCTCCCCTTACGCCTGCCGTTACCCTCGTCCACCCACACCAACACGCTCTGGTGGATCTGGGTACTCACTGTCCTCCTCGCCATCCTGCTCACTCTCATGATCTTTTCTGAGTGCCACTTTAACCTGCACCCACACCTGAGAGGGAACCCCTCTGTCCATGCTGGGTTTAACAGGACCCGCTCAAAATCTAAAAGATACCTCCAGCCTCTATTCTTTCTCTTTTTTTCCCCTCTCCTCCCAAAGGATGCTACGGACCCTACCTCCACCCTTACTTATTCTTGTCTTATTTATCCAATCTCTTTGGTCTCAAGACTTAACCTGGAAAGATAACATAACAGTCACTAATTCTCGGATTATTGCTAAAGGAGAAAATCTCTCTCTGCTGGACTGGCCATCCCCAACCCACCACCCCAGGAGGCGTAAGCCCCACCCTCCAGGCCACCCAGGCACCAACCGGGACACTGTTCTCGGCTTTTAACCAATCTTTTAATCACTGTAGACAAGATTTTTCTTTAATTGTAACATGGGAGAGGCCCCCTCTGCTCTGTTACCACATCACACCTCCCTGCTTAAAGGCTATAAGTGTCACCAAAACCTCCCCTATCTGCAATCAGACTCTAGGATGCACCCGCATTATAGTGATGCCCACAAGGGGAATACAGACCACTTTCCAGTCCTTGAGGCTCTAACAGAAACCTAAGCCTGCCCCTGGGTATCTTTACACCTATAAATTGGAGGGATACAGTGGGCCAGCCTCTTTACACATCAACCTGCACCCCTAAGAACACACACATGTGCTATGACAATTCACAAACTAATGCCAACAGAATTTCTTGCACCAGATATCATATCAGACACCCGCTTGCTGTGACCCTCCCTGACGACAGACCCCTCCTGGATACTCCAAACCAGAAACTAAACCCAAAATTCAGATGGGACCTCTCCGCAACCATCTCCCACCTCCCAAAACTTTCTTCCAGCTGTATAACCAAGTCAACCACACAGTTTAACCAGCACCACCTGGATTATCATGGCTCCGTGGGGCCCCAGATAACTACCTCGCAATGACCAAAGCCATTGCTCTCTCACAGTAGACAGCACACATCACTCCGGGGGCCACACCCGGGGAACTGTGGCTCCAACCCAAATAACCATCCTCGGTGTGACCTACGTGAGGCAAAAAGGGCCTTTGGTCAGGTACTAGCAGGAATTACAGGGCCGTAGCTGCAGCTGCCCCTTGGGGAGTATTTTACAAACATAAAATATTAACTTTAAAAATTGTGAACCACTATATTGTACACCTGTAACTTACATAATGTTGTATATCAACTATACTCCAATTTAAAAAAAAAGAAAAAATTATAAAACCCATGCTAGGAAGGATACAGCCATGGGAGGGGTGGGGAGCCAGTGAGTTGCTTCCTAGCAGAGCGACCAGGAAATACAGAAGAAAAGGCCACTTGTCCCACATAAGGACCACTACTCCAGGGTTCCCATTATCCCTTTGCTGGCTTCAGGAGCCCCCCCACAAACACAATGTTTCAGCCCCTCAAAACCTCTTTTGATTTCCAAAAGGATGTTCTCTCACGCCCACATGCTGTTCCTTCTGCATGGAACGTTCCTTCCTCATCTCTTCCATGGCCAACTCTTACTCATCCTGTGGAGGACTCAGCTTAGATGTTACTTCCTACAGGAAGCCCACCAGATTGACCCCCTCTAAGCTAGGTCAGGAGCCCCTTCTGGACTGCCAGGGCTCCATGGGCTTCCACCATCACAGGAGAGATGACTCTGAGTCTGTGTCCCCATGACACGCATCTCCAGAACAAGCACATGAGAAACGGAGGAGGAGGGAGATGCTTGGAGGAAGAGGTGAGTTCTGTGTGGTCTTGGGACCACGGAGAGAAGCTGGAGGTCCAGGCTGAGGTCAGCATTCGAAAAAACGTTCTAAGAATTTTAGCTCACAAACCAGCCTGGGTTGTACTGGTAGGTAATGAGCTGCTCATCACAGGAAGTTATACAAGGAGATATAAGAAACTGCTTCCGTCAGCTGCTCTCCTCACACCCAGGGAGCCCAGGCCAAGGCCAGCCCTCCTTCTAGGCCTCGGTCTGGCACTGTCTACCTCAAGCTGCTCCATGTGCCTCATGTTCCCTCCTCTTGCTCAGAAGACTACCCAGCGGGACAGGGAAAGGGGGACCACAGGGACTGTTCCCACAGCATTGGGCAGCCCAGCTCATTCTTCAGGAAGCCTCGAGGCTCTGACTGTCACTCTGAGAAGGCTCCTGGCACATGAATGCCTTAGACAGGGTCTCACCTGGGCTCAGCCAGGGTCACATCCACCATGACAGCAGGCGTCACACCGGGCCACGTGCGTGGTGGGGCTGGTCTGTGCCCAGAGCCTTGTGCATTCCCGCCCCGGCGGTTCACTTGGAGTGAAGCCAAATCCCGCTCTGCCCTGCCTCTCCCCTCCTCTCTGACCCTCGCTCGCTCTCTCTGCTCAGCCACACTGGCCTCCTCATTCCACCTCGGACACCGGGCATGATCCCACCTCAGGGCCTTTGCACAGGCTTTTCCCTCTGCCTGGCTGATCCCTTTCCTGATGCCCACAACTGTCTCTATCCCGAGGGGAGAGTCCCCGTACCTGCCCAGTCTGTGGCTGAGGCCTCCCTGACCCCCATACCCAGGCCTGTCTGAGCCCCCTCGACTTGGCATTAAAGTTCAAGGGAAGGAGCCTGATCCAGGGGCCTCTGACACACAGCATCCAGCCCTTCTGCCCACATGAACCGATGATTCCAGCCCCAGGGCCAACCTTCAGGGGAAGGAATCCCACCTCTTCCTCTATGAGCCGGGCCCAGAGCCCCAGGCACCTGCTACAGCTGATACACACAGTAAGTGCTCAACATATGTCTGAACGGAAGTGAGAAGTGCAGATGAACAGAGAAATGTGAACAGAGAGAGCACGAAACATAGGAAGAAGGAAAGATGGGCGGAACTTCTCCACTAATTACACCCCACACACAACACCCAGACTCCAGCAGACAACAGCCGAGGTCTGTAAGCACTAACCACCTGCAACACACACTCACTCCACTAACTCGCGGCTGGAACTCCCCAGTTGCCATTCCAGGCCCCAGTCATCCACTGTGGGGAACAAGGACCCACAGCAGCCAGACTCCCAAGCCAAGGACAACCAGTGACCTCCCAAAGCCAAGGACACCATGACCTCAACAGCCAAGGACAACCA